ACAACATTCAAAACACAAACATCTTTTGTAGAAAATTGAGAAAGTCATATCCCGTAGCTCCCTAATGCTAAATACAAATAACGTAAAATTGGATAGGTTTACAAGCTCAGAACATTCCATTACTTCACAGTAGTCTTGGAGTTAACTGAGCATAAGTGGTGTTGCTCAACATGACTATTAAAAAGCTCTTTAGTATTCATTCCAGGTACTAGAATATCCACCTTCATACAATTTCATATTTCATAAAGTACTTTGCAGCTTTGGTATCAATATTTTCTATTATGGCTTTTTCTTTGGTTAAAAAAGGCTACATTTCCTGTGATTTTTGTTGTAAAATTACCTTAAGAATTATGAATCTTAAATTGTCAGAATGATTCCTCCTAAGATTATTTGATTGTTGTAATGTGAATAAATGTGTAAAAATAGCAGTAATCTGAAGTCAACCCAGATAATGAATGAACTCTACTAGCAGAGATTGCAGTAAACATAACTGAACCTCACTTCACTTCAAATCCCCGTATCAAGAGATTTGTTGAAATAAAATATTTCCCTGAGCCCCAGATAAAAATCTCCCCTTAATTACAAAGTCTATTTTGTTGTAACAGCAGAGGTTGCACAAAATATGAAATATACAATTAGTTCAGTAATTGAATACTTGCCTGATCAAATAATCCGATACCCTGCACACTATCTAAATGCTACTCCATCCTGGTTAAATATGTATATTGCATAGGAATATTTCATGTTCCACTGAGCAGGGCACAATTTTTGCAGATTGTGGAGTGGAAAGTGCTAAGTTGTACATTTTCTTCAGGCCATACAACAGGGCAACACTAAAACAATTTTTGCAGCAGAATGGCCCATGTTGAACCTTTATGAGCATTTTGGCCACTGCTAATTCCACTGTGTTTTTTGTTTGCAAGGCCCCTTACAAAATAAGTACTGGCCCCTTGCACATGTTGATCAGAGGCCTAGCAATTATTTTATGGCCCTTCTGGGACATTGCTTCACTCATCGTGAACCAGATACTGGGCCTGCTTCACTCAGGCTTTTTTACTGGCCACTGGAACCATGGCAGAGGCAAGTTTTCAAATAAAATGCTACAATAAACATTGGCTGAGGCTTCCCTAATTCTGTAATCCATATAACTGTTTCCCCACTTCTCTCCACCAGAATTAAGTTTTGAACTACTGGCTGTGAGGTAAGTGTGTTTCTTTCAAATGCAACAGCTACCTATGGAGTCTATGTTGCAGGCAGCCATCACAAACAATGTTAATGATGCCCAAGGTTGGGATGGTCTTAAGCCTCCCACTCATACAGCTGTTGATTACGCGACTGACAATCAGACATAACCAACTTCTATACTTGTGTCCATTAGCCGATAGAATAGGTAATTGCCCAGTCCAGACTCAGAAGACTCTTCTAGCCTATTTTAATTTTAACAATGATTGTCGTTTTATGAACAGCAAGATTCATTGTGTGGTTTACTGCTTCACAGTACCACCTTCATTACTGAAGGTCAGTCAGCATGTGTAATATGTTCAGTGTTTATCTTTATCTTAACTGAAAACTGAAAAGATATAAAGTGCCTAAGAGGCTGACTGCCCTACTGTATTTCCAACTGTACTTTTTTCAAAACTGTTTGGTCATTGCTGAATATTGCTGAAAAAAATACATTTTGTTGGAACTTTGTATCTTGCACTCAATAGGATATTTCACAAGAGTACAAATAATGGGATTACTCAAGTTAAGCACTTGATGACAGAAGAGTGCTGATTAATTGCAAGTGGACTTTGATTGGTAGAGGACTTACCATGGAGCATGCAGCAGTTAATGATGACTGACTGTTAACTACCATGCTTTGTTTAGATGTCAAACCAGTTAACTTGACTCTGATTGGTTACGGCATTGTCCTAAGAAATGAACTAGAGTCAAGTTAACTGGTTTGACATCTAAACAAAGCTAGGCAGTTTAACAGTTAATCATCAACTGCTGCCTTCTCCATAGGAATGCCTAAAACAATTAGAGTCCACTTGCCAACCGTTTTGTACTCTCAATTCAGTATATAAATGTTGGATGTCCCTTTAAATTTCTATTCTTGTGAATTATTCTGAAGAGTGCAAGATGATAAACATTGATAAAATGTGTCTTTTATCAACAATATTCAAGTTTGTTGCCTTAATTGTCCATAGTACTCAGTAGTGTAATCAATTAATTATTGATTTCTTGTCTGTTTTAGCAATTCCTAACAAATTGGATCTGCTTATTTCAATCACATCAGAAACTGCATACAGAAGCTAATTCCAGGTCCCAACCCCATACAGCACGTTGGGGGCACATTCAGGAAATTTCAAATCTTCAGCCAATTAAAATTTGTGGACAGGTTTGTGTGTAGTCAGGCGCTGCAGCAAGTTCTGATGCTGGACAACCAAAGTCATGCCCCTTCAGCACCCTATGATTAATAATCCTACAGGCTGAGTCAGGAGCTGCCCATCTGAATGTCGAGACTGTGTGGGGCCGGTAAATGCAAGTTTACTTTAAAGTTTTAAAAAGCCAATCCCTTGAGTGTATGGCCAGAGACCACAGCTATGGCTCAGCAACTATTACAAGAGGGGGAGGAAGAATTGGTGGCTCGTGTTTTATTTCTCATGCCCCTCACTCCTTCCAACTTCTACCTTGAGCTCACAACATTGGCCTGGATATGCCCAGCAGGTAGCTAATACTATCCCACCAAGTGCAAATTGGTCAGGGTTGGGATCATGGTGTTGAATTGGCATGGAGGCCAGCAGTGCCAAATTGTGAATGTACGCATCTTTGATTCATATTCTGATCCATTTAAAAATCCACTCTCCTTGAGGATCAATACATTGTGTAACAGCACTCATTTTTACACTATGCAATTTTCAATTCACACTGCACCAAATGCATAAAAGTGTGTTAAGTATGTTGTACTTCATATTTTAAGTATACGTTACGAAATTTAAAAGATAATCATTTGCCAGTACAGAATCTCGGCATTGGTGAAAAAAAAGGATATATTTGGTCTAAGCTTTCCATCTTGCACTCAGCAGGACAATTTGCAAGGAATACCACAGTAAAGGGAAAATAAGACCATAAGATATAGGAGAGAATTAGGTCATTCAGCCAATCGGGACTGCTCTGCCATTTGAGCATGGCTGATATGTTTCTGAATCCCATTCTCCTGCCTTCCCCCTGTAACCCTTGATCCACTTACTAACCAAGGGCCTGTCTATCTCTGTCTTAAATACACTCAATGACTTGGCCTCCAGAGCTTTTTGCAGCAATGAGTTCCACAGATTAACCACCCACTGAATGAAGAAATGTCCTCTCATCTCAGTTCTATAGGATCGTCCCTTCACTCTGAGGCTGTGCCTTGGATCTTAGTCTTTTATACTTGTGGTAACATCTTCTCAACACCCACCCTATGCAGGGCATTCATTATTCTGTAAGTTTCAATCAGATTCCCCCCTTCATCCTTCTAAACTCCATCAAGTACACACCTAGAGTCCACAACCACTCCTCACATGACAAACCCTTCATTCTGGGGACCCTTCTCATAAAACTCCTCTGGACCCTCTCCAAGACCAGCACATCCTTCCTTAGATACAGGGCGAAAAAAGGCTCGCAATATTCCAAATAAGGTCTAACCAAAGCCTTATACAGCCTCAACAGTACTCCTGTTTTCTAGCCCCATTGAAATGAATGTTAACTCTGCATTTGCCTTCCTAACTGAACCGCACGCTAACATTAAGAGAATCCTGAACTAAGACTCTCAAGACCCTTTGTACTTCAGATTTCCAAAGCCTTTCCCTGTAGATTTCTGAAGCCTTTTCCTATTGGAAAGTATTCCAATGAAAAGTATTCAGCTTGGAGCTCGGGGACCAGTGGTGTTCCGCAGGGATCTGTTCTGGGACCTCTGCTCTTTGTGATCTTTATAAATGATTTGGATGAGGAAGTGGAAGGGTGGGTTAATAAGTTTGTCGATGACACCAAGGTTGGTGGAGTTGTGGACAGTGTGGAGGGCTGTTGTAGGTTGCAACCAAACATTGACAGGATGCAAAGCTGGGCAAAGAAGTGGCAGATGGAATTCAACCCAGAAAAGTGTGAAGTGATTCATTTTGGAAGGTCAAATTTGAATGCAGAATACAGAGTTAATGGCAGGATTCTTGGTAGTGTGGAAGAACAGAGGGATCTTGGGGTCCACGTCTATAGATCCCTCGAAGTTGCTACCCAAGTTGATAGGGTTATAAAGAAGGCATATGGTGTGCTGGCTTTCACTGGCAGGGGAACTGAGTTTAAGAGCCGCGAGGTTATGCTGCAGCTCTATAAAACCCTGGTTAGACCACTCTTGGAATATTGTGTTCAGTTCTGGTCTCCTCATTATAGGAAGGATGTGGAAGCTTTAGAGAGGGTGCAGAGGAGATTTACCAGGATGCTCCCTGGAAGGGAGGGCAGGTCTTATAAGGAAAGGTTGAGGGAGCTAGGGCTTTTCTCGTTGGGGCGAAGAAAGATAAGAGGTGACTTGATAGAGATGTACAAGATGAAGACAGGCATAGATAGAGTGGATAGCCAGAGACTTTTTCCCCAGGGTGGAAATGACTATTACAAGGGGGCATAATTTTAAGGTGATTGGAGGAAGGTATAGGGGAGATGTTAGAGGTAGGTTCTTTACACAGAGTTGTGGGTGCGTGGAACGCGCTGCCGGCGGTGGTAGTGGAGTCAAATACATTAGGGACATTCAAGCGGCTCTTGGATAAGCACATGGATGATAGTAAAATGTAGGGTATGCACGTTAGATCTTAGAGTAGGATAATAGGTCGGCACAACATTGTGGGCTGAAGGGCTTGTATTGTGCTGTACTGTTCTACGTTCTATTTAGAAAATAACCTCCACCTCTTTTCTTCCTACCAAAGTGCATAATCTCACATTTTTCCACATTGTATTCCATCTGCCACTCTCCCAGCCTGTCCAAGTTCTTTTGCAGCATCCCTGCTTCCACAACACTACTTGTCTCCACATAAATAACATTTACACCGTATGAATACAATACAAATCCAGAATAAATGTTGTTTCCCGTTTATTTTGGTACTTTTTGCAAATTGTTCTGATCAATGCGAGATGAAAATCTTCAACGAACATGTCTTTTATCAGCAATATTGAAATGAAGCATTCTGCATTGCGATGTATTTCGCCACTCCTTTTATTAAATGTCTAGATCAGTCGCAATAACTCACGTGACACTATGGCACAGTGACACACAAGTTAAAAGAATAAATGCAGCCGTACAAGTGGTATCTTAATAGGTCTCAGTGCAGAATCCTTACTCTAAAAAGGATCTTTCTTTCTCTCTGTGCTGTATCATTTGGAGTTGCTCTATTGAATACAAATAGTTCAATCGATTTGTAAAAGTTTGTAATATTGTTGCTGAATGATGCTGGAAAATGAAATGCTCACTCAGATCTCAAACTTTAGAATAGGACAATGCCTATTCTCTGGTCAGTACAGAAAATGTTATATCTATAAAAATTTGTGCAACTGAGTACTCGATATGAAAAGTTTGTAAGGTAGAATTTGTTAGTCGGCTAATGTCTGTACAAATTAACTGTCAGTGCTAATTCAGTATGGCTTACTATCCAGTTTCTTTTACTCCATCTGGTACACCCTGACCTGATCTGAGTAAGTGATAAAAAATAATATCAGACAAACAGGAGGGAAGGTAGTAATAGATGATTGGAAGAAAGATAGCAGCTGTTCCAGGGAAGTAGTGGCTCTTGGGGTTCTTTGCTCTCAGTGCAATGGAGATATCATTCAGAACAGGTTGTAGTTCACCTTGCAAATTGGCCTGCCATTTACCATACTGTTCTTTGAGTGCAATTATGTAGTTTTCACCATAAGCTGTTTTAACATCAGGAGACAGCTGCTGCATAATTTGTCTGTGCTGGTTGTTCCACTGGCATGTGGTGCCAAATAAACCTATGGAAATAAAGGAGTTTAAGACTTTAGGTAACACATACTTAGTACTTTAAAGGTGCTGTTCATTCTCATTCTGGACTTTTAAACTCTGTATTCCCATGCTAGTCTTTTTTTTCCTACTATTTCAACTCTGTAACAACACTTTAAAGTATCTGTACCTCAGTACCCTGTACCTAAGATGGCACCAAGAGGCAATTACAAACTTTTCACTGCACTCATTCAAGTGCATTGGAAAATAAAGGCTATTCTATTCTATTCCAATACCCCAAAATTAGGAATCAGCAAGGGAAAACAGGAGGTGAGCTGCAGCATTAGAAAAGAAATATGTATTCTTGATACTTAAGAAAGAGATATAATAGAAAGGGATTCAACCAACACATTTCAAGAATATGAAATCTCAAGGAAGTTGAAGATCAGTGGAATCATACAAACAAATGAATCCAAACAATGAATCAAGTCATAACAAAGTGTGAGTACAGAGCAAAATATCACACCAGGTAGATGTGAAAATTAGACATATTGCAAAATAAAGTATTCCTGTTATTTGTTTTTAAGTGTTATTCCCTGATGGACCTGAACCTGTTGGCCAATCTGTTAGCTACTTGATTTCAGCACCAAACCAATTCGTACATGTTAATTTCTCAGCAGTTTCAAACGATCAATTTCCTAACCCACTACTTTGGCAAACATGAAGCTGCAAGTCCTATATGGTCTGGCAGTTGTGTATATATAAAAGGTATTTAGGGAAATATGGCCTGCTAGAAATAGTTATGTACATTCTGTCCATTTTGTACAAGTGTTCCAAATTGCTGAACAAATACCCTTTATCACTTTTCATGCTAGGTTCTTAGCCTCCTCAATTAATAGCAGAAGTATAAATATGACATTCCTTAATTAGTACAATCAAAGCTTACACTCTAATACCCAGTGTTAATTGTTCAGATATACAAGAGCAGTTTCCCTTTTCTTTCCACATCTTTTTCCTAATCAATTTCAGATGAAAAGTATCAGCCAGATTTCTGTAAGGGATCTTCAAGCTCCCTTGCTCCGACTCATCATCCGAGCTGTCGTTCAGTTACGTGAAGCTTAATATTAAACACTAGAGGTCATCCTCATACTGTTACAGACAGGGTGGGAGCAAGTCAGTTAGCACTCAAAGTATGCATTCACTGTCAATAATCCCAAGGGACATGATCTGTGTTGCGAGTTTTTGTTCCACAACCACTAAAATAATTATTTCCCAAGTATAAAAGATGAATTGATTTTTGAGTCACAATACAATGCATCACTTAAGGACTTTAATTAATTAAAGGCATTTCATTAAAGGTGCTCAATGTACAAGTGGAACTGGTTTATTTTAAGCACATCAGAGTCGATAAAGGCTAACATCTAGTGTACCTTAAGATGGACTAAGCTTTAACTTGAGGAACCCACAAAAATCCATTCTAGATAGAATTCATAATTAAATTCAAAGCAACATGTGATTTCAATCATATTGACCCAATTTTATTTTTAGACAAGCATTCATTTATTTGTGATTTCATGCTCATTATTCACATATAATGATAACGTATGTTACACACACAGAAACACACACACACACACACGTGCTACGTGCACACACAAATCTTAGCATATGATTTGCACTCTCTTTCATTTAGGGAGTGTCAGAAGATGAAAAAAGAATAGTGAAGCTTCTAAAATTTGCCCAATAGCTTCATGGCTGTGGAACTTCTTCCTTTGCAAATACAAACCTGTTTTGAAACCACTAGGCTGGATGATAGCTACTTTGACTCCCCACATGGCAAGTTCTTGTCTCAAAACATTGGAAAACATGGTCAGGGCAGCTTTTGAGGCACCATATGCTGCATACCCTTGCAGTGGTATAGTTCCTGCAAAAGGTACAAAAAAAAAACATACAAAAGCATGAACAAAATCCTGAAGAGGCTTACTTCACTACACCATGAATGTCATTTTAGGCTTTTCTGCAAAAAAAAACAGAATTTGAAGTTTTCACTTATGTACATACTAAACTGGAAAACTAGGAAATCCTGCCCAGAAACTTAAAAAGCTCTGAAAATCCAAACGTTGGATATACCATTCCCCACCCAGTTTTCCAATATGCGATCAATATTAAAGCTAGGGGACAAAATCCTAAGGCTGAATTTCAACTCAGTCCAAAATAAACAGGTGAGTTCAGGTCAGCTGGTATTTGGAATTGTGAAAAAATGGAAATCTGACCCCAACTTGGCCACTTCAGTTATAATGGTGGTTTTTAATAAAAGTGGAAACAAAAACTGAAAACAAAACTGCTGGAAATCACAGCGGGTCAGGCAGCATCCGTGGAGAGACAGCAAGCACAGTATAAATTCCAGCATCTGTAGTAATTTGCTCCTACACTGTGCTGAAACGAAAAGTAGAGTGTATGCAGGCATTCACCATTAAATACAGTGGGATCAGAAGAAGCCTTTTCTTCTGGGTTTACTAACTTTAAACTGGCACTTCCCTGCCACCATCACTGCACCCTAACTTGATAAAATAAGATCCCGCAAGACCTTTTATTTCAGGGCTAGTATGTGAAAGCTGAAAAAGGGCACGATTGCATTGAAGGCACAAGGTTTATCTTTGAAGGAAATTGGAGCATTGAACATTTCTAACCCCCATAAGATGTTACACTTACACCTTTGCTTAGTACTTTTTCCAGTAATCTATAATGAAAATTCAAGGTGATGTTTGCAGAGGAACTTTTTCTAGAAGGTATGCGCACATGCATCTTTGCCCTCTGGCCTTCCCAGTTGACAAACTTGGGGCATGGAAAGGTTAAGTTTGTACAGTATTCTCTTTACCAAGACTGATTATTCATAATGAGAACAGTATCCACATGTCTGTGCATGCTCCACAATCGTCACTATGTTGCATGGGCAGTGACATCAGAATCAGTGAAGTGGAGGAAGAGGCTGGGAGCCAGGGGTTGGGGTAGCTGGGGGTAGGGTGGAGAGGAGTGGTGCAGCTTTCAGCTCCAGGAAGAGCCACTCCCGGGCAGCACGGCTGTTTCAGGGGAGTGCCAGGCGGTGAGACCGTGACGAGCTGAGGGCAGTAAATCAGCAGGGGGCCAAGGAGACGTATCGCCACAGAGGGCATGTTCTACTTGGTCAGACTGTGCCTTACCGAGTCTTGGATCACACAGAAATTTCGACTGCACCATCTTTGGGGACTGGCCATTGCTTTCCACTGCTTCAGAATGGTGTCAGGTTTTCACATGCATGAACTCCATATGCCACCTCGAAGAGGCACTTGCAGCATACGCAGCCTTCTTTACCTTCTAATACAGGTAAGATAGTCCTGCACCTTTGGTACTCAAGTCCCACCCCACGGAAATAATTAAACATTATCAATTTACTTCCCATCTACTGACATATTTTGTCCTCACTCCTTCTGGGTCATGCTGGTATTTCCTCAGCAATGTCAAGTAGTTATGAAGTACTTGGGTCATGCTGGTGGGCTTGGGGAGCAGGGGGGTAATGGTCCTCATCCATGACGATTTTAGTCCACAGGAATGGATTTACTGACAGACTGACTATCTTACATGTGAACAGTTGGCCTGTAGTAATTAAATACAGCCATTTGTAAGTAGGAGGACAGCAGAACAGAAGCAAGGTACTTTCAGAGACCTGATCTTTACCAGTTGTGAGTGAAGCCCTTGGAAAGCCCATAGTAGAGGACTGAAGTAGAGTCTGGGTAGAGAGGCGCACACATACACACAGCTACATAATATTCAGCTTCACTCCAATGTTTTCTTTTGTGTATGTGGATCTGAGAGGTCCATGAGGTGAATAGTATTGACTTCCGAAATTGGAAGTCACTGCATTGGCATGCCAATCAGTGTACGTGGAACCACGGAACTTAGAGGAAACACTGTTTAGGAGTCAAGCCATGTTTCTTAAAATATTCCTGAGTCACATTCAAATTATTGTATTGTCAATTATAATAAGATATTAAATGGTTTGCCAACCTTTTTCTTGAAGAGGAGAAACATGAAATGTCTGGATGAGTCCTGACCATTTCTTTAAAAACAGATGTGCAAAATAGACTTAAATGTCCTGTGCCTCACTGGTTTTAAATTTGTATTGGCCTAATTAGAGGTAAAGGACCTCAGAGGTTGCACTCAGTTCAAAGCTGAGCCTTAACTATGCAGTGTGTCACAATACTTACTGATGAAGGAACCATACCTGCTATGCTTGAGATGGTAACTAGTCTGCCTTTTGCTTGGTGGAGCAATGGAAGGAACATTTTAGTGAGTTCCACAGCCCCAAAGAAGTTCACATCCATGCAACGCTTGTAAATAGTCATGGGAAGAAGTTCTGCATCAGCAACAAATTCTAGGACACCCGCATTATTCACTAAAGCCCAAAGTCCTAAAATTAAAGAAACAGGATTTAGGCAGCAGTAACACTAATGCCTCTGGTCATTGTTGCAAAGGAAATATAAATCAAAAACTCTTTTCCTTTTAGTACGGGCAGTACCTGGATTACAAACAGGTTCCATTCTTGAATCAGTTCGCAAGTCTATTTGTACACAAGTTGGAACACAATACAATACAGGACAGTATAAAACAGCTGTCCATAAATAAGGAAGTGTTTTCATGTCACATATTTAAGATTAATATTAAATGTATCCCTGTATAGGATTGCTTTCACAAGTATGATCGTTCGGAAGTACTATCATTTGTAAATTGGGACCGACATATATGATCAAATGAAGTGTGTTATATAATTATGAACCCAAACCTAGTAATTGTTTACAGTATTCATCAGTATGGGTGGAATTTTCCTTTCCCCAGTGTGGTGCAAGCAATGGTAAGAAAGATGGGAAAAACAGAGAATGAAGAAAAGATCAAAACGTAAACAAGAAAACTGTGCTAATTTTCCTCTCATGCCTTAAATGGTGGCTTCATAATCTTGCCACTGAATAGTAACAACTTTCCTTTCATGCACTTACATATCACTAAAACCTCAAATACCATTATTTACAATGCCACATCCAGTTCTCCTCTCATTCCCTGGAAACTGCAGTATGTGCCTGCCAAGCTGCCGTTCATTGGTCCTGGCTTTCATGCAGCTGTGTCTTCAGTGTAATATCCTTGAATGCTCCACTGACACCAACCTCCTCAAGCCTTCATCCACACAAGTCAGCGTCAACAGATTACCGACCGCTCCATATCATCATGCATGCTCTCGGACCAAGTCACACACCAATTCACTCCTTCAACACTTCATTATGGAGTTCAGGGACATCTATGAGTTGCATGCATTGGAACACACATGCATTACATGCAACTACACATGATGCATTTTATGGCTCTTAGCTACATTTCCTAGTGCTCACTGAATTCTTGGAAGCTGCTAGTCCTCTGGATACTTCACATTACTTTCTTAGTGCACATTTTGCACTGACTTATGGGCTGATCTGGGCCTCAGATTTGCATTGCTTTCTTCGTGCAGTTGTCTTCCGTACTCAATACAGGCTACCAGCCTCTGGCTTTGAATGCTTTTTAAAAGAGGAGCAGGCAGAGAGCCTATCTCATTTGGGAGTGCTACACTGAACAGTCACGGGGGTAGACGTGTCATCACACGGCACCGTGCCATAGCAATGTCACACCTGAATCATATGCCAGCAGTTTACACAGCAGGTATACGACATGAGCTTCATGCAAATAGGCATGTTCAAAGGGGAGCAGCCAGTACTGGGGTGAAGGTGTATTATGTTCAGACAGGGTGTAACACCATAGCCAGTCAAAGCTTCTTCTAATCCAGTCCAGGCAGCTGGACATAGTCAAGTTCAGGAACGTGGCCCTGCTAGAATCCAGTGATCCATTTTGCTTGCAGTCTGGAGATTAGGCCCTAGTCAGAGGTGCAGGTCAGATGTAACCAGTCTGGGATTACAGGTAGGTCAGTAGGGACACCGGGACATCAATCCAGGAGGTAAGGCCATAGTAAGTCAGAAAATGGTGTCAGTGATAGGAGGTGTAGGGCCAGCAAGGATATAGGAATTTCCAAAGTCATGGGCTCTGAGCTTAAATTTGGAACATCAATAGTGTACAAAAGAGGCTCAACAGAAATGAGAGGAGACTATTCCTTCCAAAGGTGTGTGGAATCATCACTGATTCTGTACTCCAACTCACAAGGTGAATGTAAGTGTGCAATGTTGTGTGAAGCCCAGGCCCTCAACCCCTCTCTTCCCTCCCGCAACAGCGATATGGTCCCCATTGTCCTCACTTACCATCCCAGCAGCATCCACATCCATAAGATCATCAGCTGCCACTTCCACCACCGCCAATGGGATGCCATCACCAGATACATATTCTCCTCCTCTCCCTTGTCAACCTTCTGCAGGGACCATTCCCTCTGGGACACCCTGGTCCACTCTTCCTTCACTCCTAACACATCCCTCCACAGCTTAACGGCACCTTCCACTACAACCGCAGATAGTGTAAAACCTGTCCGTTTACTTCCTCCCTCCCCAGTATCCAAGGGCCCAAACACACCTTCCAGGTGAAGCAGCACTTTACCTGCACTTCACACAATCTAGTTTACTGCATCTGCTGCTCACACTGTGGTCTCCTCTACATTAGAGAAACAAAGCAAACAAACAAAGACTGGGTGACAGCTTCATAGAATGCTTGCGTTTTGTTTGCAAAAAGACCCTGAACTTCCAGTTGCCTGCCACTTCAACACAGCACTGTGTTCCCTGGTCAACATTTCTGTCTCAGGCTTGCTGCAGTGCTCTGGCAAAGCTCAGCACAAGCTGGAAGAGCAGCACCTCATTTTCCACACGGGGACCCTGCAGCCCTCCAGACTCAATATCAAGTTCAGCAGCTTTAGGGCTTGAGCTCCCCCATGTCCCTACCTCAGCCTCAATACACCGGGCCTTGTTATCATATAGTCTGCTACTACCCACAACTTATGGTCAACCACTAAAACAGTCCCCATTAATGGCTATTCACCCTCTTAGCCCAATCATTATGCACTCCTTGGTCTGTCCAACTGCTCTTCTCTCTCTTTGAGCTTTATCCCCACCTATCACTTACCCCTTCCCCCACCCTATCTTCTGCATATAAACCGACATTTTCCTAACTACCATCAGTTCTGAGGAAGGGTCACTCGACTCGAAACATTGACTGTTATTTATTTCCACAGACCTGCTGAGCTTATCCAGCAATTTCTGTTTTTGTATGATTTACAGCATCTGCTGTTCTGTTTTAAATCAAAAAAGCTGAAACTTGTAGGAGGGATAAAACTGGCCAGTCTAAAATGTAACAACATGGCAAGCACTCTAGACCACACAGCACAGAGATTTCTTTTGGCAGGAAAGCAGACAGGAATTAATAACTGGAACTAATCTGGTTTACCTATGCTGGTTTCCTGGCTTACTTATAACAGCTAAAACAAAATTGTTAATATCTCTGAATTACACTTGCTTTAAAACATGAAATTTCTTGTCACTTATTTAGTTTTGTTTTAGTTCTGTGCAGTGTCTTCAATTCTGGTCACTATTGCAATTAACAAAACACACCCAGCGTGCAACAAGCCTGCAAAGGGGAAAGGCTGTAATGAGAAAAGATTACAGAAAGGGTTCGTAAATAATTGCAAAATACTAAGTAGCATAATATGTCAAAGTATGCCAGGGAAAGCAAGATAAGAGGATATGTTGTTCAATTGTTGAAAATTAAATTTAAAAAGAATTACTCAATGAGTACTGTATATTTGGAATGAGCTGTTTAAAACATTGGTAAAGAGAAAAAAAACAATAGGTGCAATTAAAGTACTCAAACAGAAACATACAGCACAGATGGAAAACATTCAGCCCTTCATGTCAGAACTGGCTCTTTGAATGTCCCCACACTCCTGAAAAAGAAACAATTACGGTATTAGAAGGGGAGTTTCAATCTCCTACCATTCTAGCAGTGTTTTGTAGGTTTTATTTTTACTTACTGTTACATCATTTGTTTACAATACACAGTAATGTTTCACTCAGACATTGATGAAAGGAAACACATGTTTGAAGCTTTTCACTAGGATGTATGAAAACAGGCTTGAAAGAGGGGAACAAAAACAGAAATTGCTGGGGAAAACTCAGCACGTTTGGCAGCATCTGTGCAGAGAAAGCAAAGATAACGTTTCAGGTCCAGTGACCCTTCTTCAGAACTAGTTCTGAACAAGGTCACTGAGAAGGGTCACCGGACTTGAAACGTCAACTCTGCTTTCTCTCCACAGATGCTCCCAGACCTGCCAAGTTTTCCCAGCAATTTCTGGTGTTGTTTCTGATTTCCAGCATCTGCAGTTCTTTGGTTTTTTTTTCCTTGAAATGGACACTAATTCATACAACATAAAAAAAAGTGCTGAATGTTTGGGCTATCATTGGTACGGAGATGCAGCAGGAACAGTTAACTATCTCCGTTCTCAGGCCAGGCAGGTACTCTTTGAATGGTTATGGTGTTCTCATGAGAATACAACAGACATTCACGTCTGTGATTCCTTTATTTCTCACTGAGAAGGGTGAAATGTATGTGCGAGTTCTTTCTGCCTACATAAAACAGACTCCTGTGTGTTAATATATGGAACTTCTTGCATGTGTAAATACATCTCAGTGTGAACCCTACTGATAATCTTAAATTAATTTCTGGTCAAATACTTACAAGTTCAAATTATTTAATAGGTGTTATCCAATAACAAAATCACATTTAATGTTGGACATGATGTCCTAAGGCCTCCAAGCATAGGCTAGCTGAGCAAAACCAACTTACTGCCCACTGTGAATGGTCAGTGGGACATGTTGTACGATATACTCAGCTCATTGGGATGTACGTTGCATCACTGGTACTGAAACCCATATCACATTGCTCATTTCTGTTACAGGCAGAAGTCCTTTGTGGACTGATGACAACATCCTGCTAGTTGAGGAAATAACTCATGGTTTGCTGTAACATAGCAGTAGCAGACAGCTGGTTTCATTTGTTATTCATATTTTTGGGACATCTTCCCCTTCCAGGCATCCACTTTTGGCTCTCAATGGTGTCTCAAACTTACACGTAATGAGGTATTCCGGGCACCATTCAGGCCAAAAGTGGATGCCAGAGGCCCTTATATGGAACAGGCTCAAGGGGCTGAATGGCTTATTTTGTGTTCCTATGCTATATGTGGTTGTATTGCATACAGAGAATGATAAGAATGTGGGAAAGTACAGCAGAGGAACAGGCTCTTCAGCCCACATGTCTGTGCTGACCATTTTGCCATTCTAAACCAATCCCATCTGCGTGCACTGGTCTGAATCCCTCTATTCCTTGCCTGTTCATGTTTCTGTCTAGATGCTTCTTAAGCATAGTCCTTGTACCTACTTCCATCACCTCCCTTGGCAG